TGAGTTGTGGATGTTGTTGATTTGAAGAGTAGATGGAGAAAGGTTATAAAATAGGCAGAATTAGAAATGTTGAACTTGGCATGCATGTGTGCATTTTATGCATATACATAATGTTTGTGAATAGAAAAGAAATTATGGGAAATTGTATGTTGGATATGGTGGCTGACTATTGTGGTTAACTGAAATTGGAGATTTAATGCAATAGTTTTATACGGGTAGAGCATATATGTTGATCCTAAAGAACCAAGAGTTATTAAAGTATGTTTTTGGTTATAAAAAGTTATGCTGTGAAATTCTGACAGCCTAAACTTCTGAAAATTTTATATATGTTTCGGGTTTGTAAATGAAGCTAAATTTCAGATATTTTGTTTTAGACTTATTAGAGATTGGTTGAAAATTGATTTCACCCCAAAATTCGAAGTATTGGATTTTTTATTGAATTTTGAATTCTGCTATGAAATTCTGGAATTTCATGTTTTCTGTAGAGCATGCATTTTTCAGAACTGAAATAATGCACTTATACTTATCCAAATTGAGTGATTTTAAATTCTGGTGAATCCTATATGTGTCTAGTTTAATTCTGGAGAGTTTCATGAGGTTTAGATTAAGGGCTGAATTGTTATGAATTTTACAAGTCAGTAACCTCAATTCTGGAAACAGTTGGCAGATTTAAATGAGTTGAAAGAAAATTGTGTTTTAAATAGTTATTGATTCTGAAATGACTTGAAAATATTACTGGATCAACATATATTTGTCTTGAATGCCCCATTGAAATTATAGCTTGATTTGGTGAGTGGATTAAACCAAATCTTCTTCCAAATCCTTAAATCCATGCTTGCATGTTAACTTGTGATTTTATTTTAAATGTTTTGATGAAGTTTGGTATATAGAATTTATATGTGTTCATGCTATATGAATAAAATGTTGCTGTTGAGAGTAGAGAATTGGTTGAATTGTATACGGGTTGAGGATCGTGATGTTGGTAGATGGTTTCTTGGTAAAAAGAAAAAGAGAAGGGGTGCATTCTGTCAGTTTTGAAAGTATGTTTTAAAACTTGCATTCTACCCCCATTTTGCATGGAATTTCATACGATTTGGCATGATTTACTTTTATATGAAATGTGGTATATATCTTATGATTAGTGATGGACATATGCTATGGAAATGTGATATTGAAAGTAATTTTTAATCTGGGTTAAACTGTCAGTTTTAAAACATGTTTGGAAATTTTCAGTTTCACCCCTGGATGTGATTTTTGAATATTATGTCATATATGTATGATTTATAAGCACTTACGAAATATGCTCTTGACTTACATGTTACTTGAGATTATGCATGAGATTGTTATGGTGTTAAAACCACCCTACGAAGTACCCATCCCCCAGTTTTCAGGCTCTGCCCACGCGATGCAGGATTCCGCTGGGTATTGAGATATTTGGTCTTCAGGCTCTGCGCATGCGTATTGAGATATTTAGTGCTCTGCCTGGGCGTTGAGTTTGTCCGCCAGGTATTGAGATGGTTTTCTTCAGGCTCTGCCCGCGCGATGATAGATCTTGCCGGGTATTGAGATGTATTTCCCAGCTCTGCCTGTGTGTGGGATGCCCACCAGGTATCGAGATTTTTCCCCAAGGTACTAGTTGTGGTGAGAACCTTTAGTATCGGTTTACTGTTTCGAAACAGGATATCAGTTTAAAGTTTTCAGATACCAGCCTACAGTTTTCAGTATCAGTTAATAGCTTCAGTTTTCAGTATCTGATGGATAGTTTGCATTAGTTATATGAAACAGTTGATGTTGTAGCATGATTTATAGAAAACATTGTCTTTAGAAGCATAAGCATTTACAGCAATTCTTTAAGTTCTCATAAAAGAATTTTCAGCATTTAGTAATGAGCTAGGATTCAGAAATTGTTGTCAGTTTAATTGATCAGATTATAATACTTAGAACAATTAGAAATGAGTTATGCATGCATACATGGATGATTAGCTGCCACCGTAAAAGAATGTTCATGGAATCATGTTGTTTTCTGTATTTTTATAAAAACCTTTGCATGCCATAACTTTTGTTTGACGAATGTTTTGCAAACTCCCCCTTTTCCCCACTCACTGAGTATTTCAGCTCACCCCTTTTTTTTAAATGTTTTTTTTCCCCACCAGGACCTTCCGGAGATCGTGCCGAGTAGTGAGCCTCTGCTCAGGGTTGTGCCACGCGTTGACATCTTTTATGTGGGTTTTACATTTACGTCGCATTGTAAAATTTGGACTTTCATTTCAAGAACTCATGTTTTCCTTCATGTATTTCCTTTTGTTTCATGTTTTGGAATGTATAGTATAAGTGGAAAACCTGATACTACAATTTTCCCTAACTCTTTCCTTTTGTAAAACGAAAGATGATGCATGTCTTTTTTTTTTTGAGATGTTGGAAATGGAAATACTATGATGTTATTCAAGAAAAGTATGTCTTTAAACAAGTTTCGCAGTTTTTCTACATGACACGTCTCGGGTATCTGAGTCTTGTGGGAGCGCCCGGATCCTACGGGATGAGGAAATTCGGGACGGGTTGTGTCATATATACTTTGGCCAGACCAAGCCTAAGCTAAAGTCAACCAAAACTTAAACCAAGTCAACATTGCGTTAACTTTTAATATGAATTAATAATAAAAAAAAAGAATTTTCTTGATATAAACATAGATAGTAACTCAAATTTCTTTAATTATTTTAAGTAGCAGAATTGTGACGATTGAATTGTAGGAAAGTGATGGGTAAAGGGTGAAGAATAACGTCCTTTAAAATATAGTTAAGGTTATAATTTGGGAAAGCAGATTTATTTTTAGACAAAAAACACAAAATAAATACAAGATCCATGTCTTTTCCCCTCAAATTAGAATAAAAACCTCAAAAAATAAAAATAAAAATAAAAATAAAAATAAAAGCATAATTCAACCCTAAAATAAACTAAATTGAAATGAGCAATACACGTACTAAAACTGATAAAACAGAAAACAGAGTTAATTGTGGCACCTTGAGTAGTGAAAGCTTTAACGATTTCAGTTTTCAAAAGTTTTAAGATCGAATAGCATGAGGAAGAGAATGAGAGAGTAAATTTTTTTGGAGATAAATCATAAAAAGCAAGTGGAGCCGTGGAGAAGAAGAGTGGAGAGAGTTTTAAACTTTTAATATGATATGAGCTTGGAATATATATAGTAATAACAAGTTTTTTGTGAGCCTAGATATATGTATAATAATTCTCATTTTTTTAAAATTTAAGGGTGGGTTTGGTTATATATATTAATAACAATTTTTGTGGGCTTATATATTAATAATTATTTTAAAAAAAAATTGAGGCCTACCCTCAAAGGGGCTGGATCCGCCCCTGGATATGAGTAGAGTTTTTGTGAAATTTTGATAGTTGTTTGGTTAGAAAAATGTAAAAGAGCTTTTTGATATTAACTTACCATAAAGAGTTTTAATACACAAGAATAGATCAAGTCAAATTCATAAAATTGAATAGGGACATTTTTGAAATTTCAACACTCTAAATAAACTCAAAAAGAGCTTATGGGAAGAGATATATGCTTAAATGTATAAGATAAAAACTGATTCGCTCTAAGATTTGTGTAACATCAAATGAAGGTCAGGAGAGAAAAATTAATTTATCTAGGAGATAGGGGCGGAGGGAGGGGGAGTCAAGGAGAGTCAGTTGACTCTCCTTGACCTTGAAAAATGATCATATATATATATATATATATTAACTTTTAAATTCATCAAATATATTAAATTAAGTTCTAATTTTTACAAAAAAAAAAAAACCCACAAATACATTAATAAATTATAATGAATTTAATATATTATTTAATTGTACAAAGAGCGAAATGAAGAAAGTTTGTATATCTTTTCATATATTTTATAAAATAAATATCATTTCTAAGATTGTTTGTTAAATTAAATAACTATTAATTGTAGGGGCGGAGGGGGGAGTCAAGGAGGGTCAGTTGACTCTCCTTGACCTTGAAAAATGATCATATATATATATATATATATATATATATAAACTTTTAAATTCATCAAATATATTAAATTAAGTTCTTAATTTTTACAAAAAAAAAATCCCACAAATACATTTAATAAATTATATAATGAATTATATATATATTATTTAATTGTACAAAGAGCGAAATGAAGAAAGTTTGTATATCTTTTCATATATTTTATAAAATAAATATCATTTCTAAGATTTGTTTGTTAAATTAAATAACTATTAATTGTTTTGTATTTCAATACTTATATATACACGGCCTCCAATTAAATTGCGGATGCTCAAACAGAGAATCAAACCTGAGACCGTATACCTATCCACACTATCCCAAATTCCTTTTAACCATCTAGACTATCCACAGATGAGTCATATCGAAATATTAGAATTAATAAAAAAAATAAAAAGTATATATTTTGATACATTATTTTAAGGAGTCGAAACGTAAAAGTGCAATTACAAAAAAAGTTATAATATTTGAGTAATGTTACATTTACATCACTCTTTTACACCAGTTTCATTACATCATGTCACAATCACACAAATTCTATTATAATATTAAAAATTCAAAATAATTAAAAATTTGTGTGGTTTTGATATATGCTACATCATGATGTAATGAATATGGTGTAAAAGAGTAGTGTAAATGTAGCATTACTAATAATATTTTACTATAAAAGTAGATAAATCTTTGAATATTTTATTAGTAGAAATTTTATTGTAGTTTAATTTGGATGTGTTGTTATTTGTGTTGGTTTAATAACTTCTTCATTAATAAATTTTCTTGGTTTTGTTTTACACTCGTTAAAGTATTATAAATTTATTCTATATCATCGAACACAATCATAAATAGATTAATTATAAAGAGCATTATAAATAAATATTCATATTTTTGTATAACTTATACCCAATATATTATTTATTATAAGTTTATTTATGATTGTATTATTAAGTTTAATTAACCCTTAACCCTCTAGAATGAGTTTCTGTCTACTCCCCTGCTAGGAGATCAATACTAATCAATTGGTGACAGGTACAGTTCCTAATTGCAAGGATTGTGAGATATTGTATGTTCAAGATCATGAATTATGTTGTTGACGTTTGTTTAAGCATGTAGTCTATGCATAATGTTTTTTAAGATTTCCTAACCGTTGGTATCATAGCAAGTTATTGAACCTATAATCTCTCCATAAAGATAATTAGGAAAGTATGATTTAATGATTTGTTTGAGTCTGATGTTTTATGTTGTGATTCTGGGTGTTTTGGAATGATGCTCCGTGTTGATATTAAACAAATCAATACGTTTTTATGAAGGATTAAATCTGGGTTTTAAGGGTATAAATATGTGGCTTTTGTATGAAGTTTTGGGTTGTTTTTTGGCCTAAATATGCAAATTTTATGTTAATTTTAAGTTTTATGTTGATTATGATGTGTAACTATGCAAAAACCCCATCTTTTCCGGCGTAAAGGGTTGCCGAAAGCATATGTTTGGTGGCTGGAGATTGCAGTGGCAGTGGAGGCCCGAAATGGCGCTGAAGGTTGAAGGCGCGTGAAGGCAAGAGGCTGGCTTTGTGTTGCAAGGACTAAAAAGAACTTTACAGGGTATATGAGACTGTATGGTAATTTATGAAAAAAACGTATAGTGGATCCCTAATGTATCGTATACTTTCATTTATACCCCTGGAAAGTTTGTTTTGTATGTAGCTCCTGATTCAAAGTATGCTTCACTATTTAGCCCATAAATTTTAGAACTGACAGATTAATCCTAAAATGCTATTGAAGTTACTTTTAACTGGATGATAGGACCTGATGCTCCTAAATGGTTTCTCATTATGCAATGGCCTATTATAATTGTTGATTTATTGATTATTATTTCATACATGAATGTCATGGGATTTTTATGCATTAAGGATTATTATTTACATGAATGCTTTATGTCTTTATATAGTTTGTTAGTCACCAAAGTGATCAAACTAGAATGATGAAGAAATTTACGTGCATGGAATTATCAATTATCCATGATATTAATGAAATGACTAAAAATGAAAAATGAGTGGATAAATTGATGCTCACTAATCATTAGAATTTCAGGATTTGCCCAAAGGTAAATTAATTATCTTATGATTAGTAGGCATTATGGAGGCATATTGATAGTTTTTGGTCAAATATATTTGTATATCCATAGATAACATGCATGTTTGATTGGAAATATTGGTTGTCTCATAAAGTTTTTTATAAGCATTTAGTTTATGATAGTATACTGTAGTTTCTACCCAAAGGAGAACTATGGTGTACTTTGATTGTTTAATTATATGAATCTATGATGTAAATATATTTCAATTTGAGCATTTATGTATTATTATCTGCAACATCTATTTCACTTCATTCGCAAGCTTCGTGTGTTACCGTATTTAATGGGTTAAATTGATATAAATGGTGCAATCAGGTCAAGTTCCATTTAGGTGTTTTGGATCTTGACTTAGTGTTGCTGGAAGATAAACCTCCTACTATTACAGATTCGTGCAATGAGAAAGAGATGTTTTACCATAAAGCATTGAAATGGTCTAATAGACTAAGCCTTATGTTTTTGCAAATGACTATTGCCAATAACATTAAGACCACTATTCCACAAACAGAAAGAACAAAGGAGCACCTTGAGTCTGTGGAAGAACGTTTACATTCTACTGACAAAATCACTCATTGGTATATTAATGGCACAACTCACGACAATAAAGTTTGATAGGTTGAGAAGGATGCAAGAATATACCATCGAGTTGACTAATGTTGCAACAAGGTTAAAGACCTTGATGATGATGATGGACGATGACTCATTTTGGCGTGGTTTGTTTTGAACTCATTTTCTCCTAAATATAGGCCTTTTCAAATCAGTTATAACACTATTAAGTATAAGTGGAATGTTAACGAATTGGCCAGTATGTTTGTTCAAGAGGAAACAAGGTTGGAAAAATTAAGGGAATCATTCTGTTAACCTTGTGCGTCAAGGAGCTGGAATGGGACCACTCGTCTGGATAATTTTAGAACGGGCGCTCCTATTCAACTGAAACGGTCGTTCCTCTTCTAGGAATTTTTGTTCCTATTCGCTTGAACGGTTGTTCTTGTTCTTGTTCTAGAATTTGTTTATTCTTCTTATCACTGATGATTGTTGTATGAAATTGTATGTATGCTACCACTTGTATTTCCAACATAATACAGGGTTTCCTTATGATCCAAACTACAAATCCAACTAAAGATTTTTGTTTATGGGGAATCGTATGATGGCTCCAACTAAAGGCATAGGGACTTATTGTTTAGTCCATACTAGTTATCATTTGGACTTATTACAGATTCTTTATGTGCCTTCAATTTCTAGGAACCTAGTTTCCTTTTACAAACTTAATGTTTTTGGATATAATGTTTTGCTTAATCTTTACTATTCACAATATTGTTGGAATTAAACATAGTATGCTTAATGAAAGTTCTACTTACTTGTGGCATAAACTTTGGGTCATATATAGAGGTGTTCAAGTTCGAGTATGTTGCATTTTTTGGAGGATCTGGAACCGGAAGCGGAACCGACGGTTCCTTGAAATTTGGAACTGGAACCGAAGCTAACAATTCTGGTTCCTGGGTATCCAAAACCGGAACCTGTAACAATAGTTCCTGCTCTAGTTATAGGTACCTTGTAAAATTACAATTACCCACCAAAATATTTTTAAAATGGCAAAAAAAAAAAAAAAAAAAAAGCCCTTAAAAACTTAAAAATACAGCCCCACATGGCACTTGTTAACAAAAATAAAATTACAAATTCAAAATTACAAACTCCATTACTTTTAAAGGTAAATTCTCAAAAGTCAAACCAACTTACTTTAAATGTTATGAAATATAAATATAAATGTATTCATATTACTTTTTCTACAAAAGTTTTTATCAAACCCCCACTATTTAATTTTATTTTATATTAGTCTCGGTTCCCAGTTCCTGACTGTAGGAACTGGAACCGTACAGTGACGATTCCAAAAATTTAGAACCGGAACCTACCTGTTGACGGTTGGTTCCGGCTAGGAACCGGAACCAAACCCCGAGTACCAGCCGGTTCCGATTCCAATCGGTTCTTTTGAACACCCCTAGTCATATATCCAAAGAAGGGTTACAAAGATTACTAATGAATGAGATTTTTCCAAATTTAGATTTTACTGATCTTGGAATATGTGTAGATTGCATTAAGGAAAAGCAAACCAAACATACTAAGAAAGGTGCCGCAAGAAGTTCTTAGCATCTTGAAATTATACACACATCAATATATGCAAACCTTTGATGCTCCATCTTTTAGTGGAGAAAAGTATGTCATCACTTATATAAATGATTTTTCTCATTATGGATATATTTACTTGCTTAATGAAAAATCTCAATATGTGGATGCACTTCAGGTATACATAAATGAGGTTGAAAGGCAATTAGATACAAAAGTGAAAATAGTAAGATCTGATAGAGCTGGTAAATACTATGGAAAACATACTGATTTAAGACAATGTCTCGGTCTATTTGCAAAGTTCCTCGAAAATTGTGGCATATGCACACAATACGCTATACAAAGCACATCACAATAAAATGGTATGGCAGAAAGGCGTAATCGGACATTAATCAATATAATTAGGAGTATGATGAGTTACTCCTCATTACCTATATCTTGTGGATGCATGCTTTTAAAACTATTGCATATTTAATGAATAGGGTTCTTAATAAGGTAGTCTTAAAAATCCTTTTGAGTTGTAGACTGGAAGAAAACCTAGTTTAAGGCACTTGCATGTTAAAGGTTGCCAAGCAAGAGCGAAAATTTACAATCCACATGAAAAGAAATTAGATTCTTGAACAGTCAGAAGTTACTTTATTGGTTACCTAGAGAAATCTAAAGGGTATAGGCTTTGCTGTCCAAACCATAGTCCGAGAATTTCAAGGACTGGTAATACTAGATTTCTTGAAAATGGTGAAGTTAGTGGTAGTGATGAATGACGAGTTGTGAACATACAGGAAATTAAGCTATATCTTCTTGTACCCATAAATGTTTCCTTTTCCACAACTACTTCAAATTTTGTTCTAGTTGTTGAAGAACGCCCTTACAAAGTTGGACAACTTTTGAATGAGGATACACTCCCAGCAGAAACTAACTCACAAAGATCTGATTAAAATGAATCGCAGGGAATGCCATAAAGAAGATCAGATACAAATCGGCTATTCTGGATGATTATGTGGTTTATTTGTAAGAATCAGATTTTAATATTAGAATTAATAAGGATCCGGTTTTTTTTTTTCCTCACAACCCATATAAAGTACTGAGTCTGAAAAATGGTTCGAAGATGAGTTGAATTTCATGGAACATAATGGAGTCTAAAACCTTGTCGAATTGCTAGAAGAATGTAAAGAGTCGAGTATAAATAGGTCTTCAAGACCAAGCGTGACTTGAATGACAATGTCAAACGGTATAAAACTAAACTTATTGCTTAGCGTTACAGTAAAAAAGATGGTGTTGATTATAAAGAGATTTTTTGTCTATCTAAAATAAGGACTCTTTAAGGCTATTATGGCATGGTGGCTCATTATGATTTAGAGTTACACCAAATGGATCATGTGGATGTGAAAATACCTTTTCTTAATAAATAACTTGAGGAGGAAATTTATATGGATCAACCTGATGTGTGTAAGCTTAAAAAGTCAATATAAGGACTTAAACAAGCTTCCTGGCAGTGGTATATTAAGTTCAATGATACCATAACATTCTTTGGTTTAATAGAAAATGTCGTTGATTGGTGTATATACAAAAGGTCAGTGGGAATAAGTTTATTTTACTAGATCTATATCTTGATGACATTTTACTTGCTACTAATGATTTAAGTATGCTGCATGAGATGAAAGATTTTCTCTCAAGGAATTTTCAAATGAAAGATATGGGAGAGGCATCCTATGTGATAGGAATTGAAACATTCTGTGATAGATCACATGAATTGTTGGAATTGTCTCAGAAAGGTTATATCAAAGAATTCTCTAGAGATTTAATATGGACAAATGTTCAACATAAGTTGTTCCCATATAGGAAGGTGATAAACTTAGTCTCATGCAATTCCAAAGAATGATGTAAAACGTAAAGAAATGGAATCAATTTCATATGCTTCTATTGTGGGCAATTTAATGTATCAAAGCAATCCAGAAATTGATCATTGGAAGGCTGTAAAGAAAGTTTTAAGGTACTTGTAAGGAACAAAGAAATAAATACTCATGTAAAGGAAGTCCAACCACTTAGACATGATTGGATACTCAAATTCGGTTTCTTGTTGGATGCCTTGACAGCAGAATGTCTACCTTTGATTATCTATTCTTTTTGGTTGAAGGAGCAGTATCATGGAAAAGTATCAAATATACTGTCATTGCTTCATCCATTATGGAAGCAGAGTTTGTGGCATGTTTTTAGGCCATAATTCATGCATTATGGCTGCAGAACTTTATTTCAGGACTTGGGGTACTCGACACCATTACCAAGCAGTGAAAATTTACTGTAATAATTCTGCAGTAGTATTCTTCTCCAAGAACGATAAATATTCTAGAGGTACCAAACATATGGAATTAAAGTATTATGTCGTTAAGGAGGAGGTTTATAGACAAAGAGCGTGGATTAAGAATATTAGAATAGATCTCATGATTGCAAATTTGTTGACCAAAGGTTTACCACCCAAGACATTTAAAGAACATGTACACAGAATGGGTCTTGGTTGTGGTGATTACTAATAAATGATGTGGTTATGATG